GTTGAGTAGGGTGAAAGTGGCCAATGGAGAAAAAAGAAAATCGTGAAATACACAGGAAATACGAGCCTTTTGCTCTACGCTGCGGAGAAGTTCAAAAGGCCGGCAGGGAGATGAGAGATAATGTGAGCGCGGAGAGCGCTAGAGAAGTCCGAGTAGAGAGAGCATAGCAGATCAAAGCGACGCAGACAAGATATCGAGCGGTGGGCGGAGCGTGTCGCAACAGGTGGAGCGTGTCAAAGTTCTTAGCGCCTAGCGTCTAAGTAACGCTTTTCGAAGTAGGGAAGTGAAGCGACCTCTGCACTTGCGTACCCAGCGCTTCTAGCCACAGTAAAGGCTCATTAAGTTTTCCTTTAAGTGGAGTCTTCACCAATGAAGATAATGGATACAGTGAAACTATAGAATCATACTTAATGACTTTGGTAAACATGATGATAATACAGTTGGCTGCGTTGCTCATTCTTCCGCAACTACGCTTCCAAGTTCCCTCTTTTCACCATATCTATGCCTCCACTGCATACCAGCATAGCTACGCACATTGACGCGTGAGCCACATAGGTTTTGGGTTATATATAACCAGTTTGGCTGCGCACGCATTCGCGTGCATCACACGGGACTGCACTGGCATAAAACAGTCCCATCGATATTATTTCTAATCCCTCCTGACAGACTCCGTCCCACTTCGGCGCACACTTCACCCACCAACAGCGCTTCCATCCACCTTTCATTCGCTCACCTCCATTCACTTTTTTCCGGTTGTCCGCCACTATTTGAAAGCAAGTCATAATGTTCCGTTGCAAGCCACCTTAATGCACTCTCCACCCACCAATAGCACTTAACCCCTTTCTTCGCCAACCTCTATCCACTTTTTTCCCGGTCTCCGGGACTTCTTGGAACCGAGTTATGAATTTTCGTCGCAAACTCCGCCCACTTTGGCATGTCCCGCCCACCATAGCACCTGACCTCATTTCCTTGTCTGACCTTGATCCATTTTTTCGTGGTCTCCGGGACTCTTCGAAAGCGGGTTATAGGTCTGATAGCAAGCTCCGCCCACTTTTGTTCACACCACGCCCACCTATAGCAGCCAACTTCACTTCCTTCGCTGACTTTTATCCACTTCAAGCTGACAGAAAGAAGCTGATTACGGAGCCTTATACAAATGTATTCTGTAGATAGCGCAGTTGCAAGTTAGGAATGGCAGCTTTTTCCTAGAAGCTATGATTAATTTACTGAAGAAAACTTACTTACTACAGATCAAACGAACACTACAGAGCGAATAACGCCATAGTGGCACTCATTCGCATATTTTAGGTGCCACTTTTGACTTCTAGCCAATAACTCACCAGGCGACATAGAATTCGGCCGCTTTAGCTGCTTGATCCTTTTCCGCAGTTGAGCGTAGAAAACAAAACACTCGCTCCTGAACATACAGCTCGAAAAGCGAGGAGGGCATCATCAACAAGGCCATCCATACTGAAAACCTACTCTTCTACGTTCATCAGCTAACTGACGAACAGCAGCTTTTATATTGTTGATGAGTTTTTCCTCCTGTCCACTTTTTCGTTTTGAAGCCAACTAAAATCAGAATTAATCAGTCGAGGATCAAAAGAAAACTATTACAGATTGTTTTTGTTTCCTAACTGCTGTTTTTGGCCGCAGTTCGCCTTGCGAATTTTTAATGTATGCAAATTGTTCACGACCCAGCATTCTTGTGAAACACTACAGATTGTCTTAAATTATCACAGCCGCTCAATCCCTAATTCACAAAAGGGAATTGGTCTGTGAGAAGCTTATATAATAAAGCAAAAGGATAAAGCATTTGCCGTTGATCAATCCCTTTTGGGATGCGGCACGCATTCTACTTCCATTTGTACATTCGTAGTGGCGTTTGAATGCGATGTGGCCTATACAATGACTTGCGGGGGCCAGCCGATGTACAAGTCAGTGTTTTTATCCTCCCAGACAAGTCTGGTACCAATTAACCGACCCCGGAGGGATGGAAGGCTTGGTTGGCCCGGGCGACTCACGACCCAGGATTTGATCCCCGGACCGCTCGCGTGGTAAGGCGATGTCAGACTTTGCGAATCGCGCGATTCGCTAGCGTCTGCGGTCGCGGCCAGTGAATCACTCAATTGGCTGGTACCGCAACGCGACCGCGGACGCTAGCGAATCGCGCGATTCGCAAAGTCTGACATCGGCCTAAGCATGCCACTTGCTACTACCACTGCTGCCCTACCGTACAATATGTACAATCTCCACTACTTTCTATAATAGGAAGGCTAACCATGTCTTTGGAGAAACAAAAACCTCCACACAGACTCATTACAGTATGCCGTACAACCGTGATATCTCCAACGGAAGCTGTCCCGTGGGCTTGACAGCCGTGGTTCGATATTTCTGCTCCCTAGCCGTGTGAAACGCGGTGGTTTTAGGGCTGAGCAGCTGTGGTTCGAAACCCGTTTAACTTTTATTCACCCGAGAAGAAATGAGAGCATTGGGAGATGACAGTGCACCGTTTTGATCAGATCCCTTGGGAAAAAAAATAGGAATTTGGGTATATTCCTGTAACTGCTTTTCCGCGCAATTTTATGGGAACATAAACGTAGAACATAAATAGGCATGTATGTGGCAGCCCAACTGAGCCAACTAGTTTCCTAGACTAGGAACACTCTTTAGTTCAGTTTATACAAAATTTGTTTTTAGGAAATCTATCATAAGACTTACCTTCTTAGCATGGTCGATGAATCTGTCCACAAAAGTGTCGATGCTGACCTGAAAATGAGTTGAATTGATTCTAAAGGAATATAAGTAACCCATCAACAGCCGCCGTTTTCCATCTCGACATCTTCCACATTTTCACATCAAAGTCATAACCTATCCAATAACTTATTTAACTTTATTGTTTTATTTGCTTTTTATTACTTTATTGTTTTATTTCTTTTTCTTTTTATTTTTTACTATACTTTATTGATAAATAAAGTCAAAAGTAACAAGTTTTTTAGTTGAACCTCCTTAAAAATGACTAAGAGATACTGAACACAGGTGAGATACTCATTTCGTGCAATTTAGTCCCAGAATTCGTAAAAAAAAAAAAGATGTCATATCCGGTATTCTCTGGTTGCAAAATTTGGTAGGTGACAGGAAGTAACGATTTATGAGTGCTAAAAAGAAGCATTCGATCGAGGGGACCATCCGTCTTGGAACAACAGAGTATTTTAACTTGCATGATCTATGTACCTCCCTTTCAAAAAACGAGAAGAGCGTCGGGTGCAGACCATACATCACAAGTGACGACGGCCTTCAAGTAAATCTGGTTAGTAGTGGTTCATAGCGATTTGTTAACTGATAGTTGTAAAAAGTAACAACTGATAGGATTACAACTGCAACAGGCTAATCATTTCATTGGCAGAAACTTTTACATTTTGTGGAGGCTGTCGTAACTTGTGTGTTGCGTGACCAGACGCCGTACTTTTTGAAAGAGTATAGTGAAGCTGAACGAAGGATAAACGGCGTGGAACCGGAATTGTAAACTAATAAGCGATAACTAAATTGAGAAGCAACATTTCATGTTCATTGCATTTTTCATTACGATGTCACTGTCATCATAGGAATCCATTCAAACCCTAACCTGCCCGAGTTTGCACTGAGTATTCCCAGATGCATGTTTTGCGCAGGCCGCGCCCTATACTGTAACATATACCTGCGCATTGAGGCATCGAAGATCAGTACGGCTTATCCTAGAGATCACAAAAGCAACTCGCTAGAGCGGCTTTTCCCGAGCTTCTTCTCTTGTGGGAGACCTTCTAAGCAGCTAAGCCGTTTACAACAATTGTACTTCGGGACGCGAATCTTCGACTCACGAACGTTGGGGAGTTCTGAGGGCGCGGAGTTAGTGAGGTTGGTTGAAATCATGAGTTGTTTCACGTTTCACTCTGTTCTATGTAGAAACTCGCTATCATGCGGTATTCAATCCTCCCCCAGGGGGATATATCCCCCTACTCTGATTCAATCCTCTGGGGGACAAAAAGGGTTGCGTCATAGGACCTCGCATACCTCTGTGTTTCTACCTGCCAGACAGTTAGAGCAGCGCTACTACCCTCCACTGATGAAGCACTCTTTCCCCTGAGGGGTCGCGCTGCTCTAACTGTCTGGCAGGTAGAAACACAGAGGTAAGCCAGTCGGCACTATTGAGCTATTACAACCCCAGAGGGGGTGAGATGGATCAAAAAATTTTTTCGCTGAAAACTTGCGCTAGGGGTTATTATCGAGGCTCCTGATCACGAATATGACCTTAGTTTTGGCTCAATTTCTCTAGGTGACGCTCGAAATAGATGTCATCTAGGCGCTCATCCAGTAAGGGGGGCATCAAGTGGCTGCCCTCACCCCCACCCCCCTAGACTGCCTACACTCCCCCTGGCACACAGGTTTCTCGAAGTACGGGACCCCGTGAGCCAGGGGGAGTGAAGCCAGTTCAGGGGGTGGGGGGGTGAGGGCAGCCACTTGATGCCCCCCTTACTGGATGAGCGCCTAGATGACATCTATTTCGAGCGTCACCTAGAGAAATTGAGCCAAAACTAAGGTCATATTCGTGATCAGGAGCCTCGATAACCCCCTAGCGCAAGTTTCAGCGAAAAAATTTTTTGATCCATCTCACCCCCTCTGGGGTTGTAATAGCTCAATAGTGCCGGCCGTTCTATAGAACTTTTTAAGTTCTCACCCTTTTTTAGTCCCCCAGAGATTATCACGAGTGAGGGATATATCCCCTAGGGGAAGGATTGATACGCCCCATAAGGAAGCATCTGCGCGCACTGTGCGTGCGCGGATTTACGTATTGCAGACCAATGATAACGAATTTGATAGATTTGGAATCAGCATTAAGCTTTGAAAAAAGTTCACAATCACTGACTGACTTGGTACAGACTCATGATTCCTAATAATCGTATCTTTTCACCAATTTTTACCATTCCAAAATTGGGAATGCGACCTAACGACGCATGCTCCGCATGTACTTCTGCGCCGCTTTTCGCATGATCATTTTTTATAAATCCGCTTGGTGAGGATAACGTTCTTCACATGTGTATTTCCACAGAAGAATCACAACAAATACAATGACAAAACATAGGAGAAAGTTTTCTATTTAGCATAATTTCTATCGAGAAAAGCTTTACAAATACGTCAACTATTTTAAAATGCTGGCTCAGGTCGAATCTTACTTATTCCCTGTGATTTGAGTACCAAATTGCAATTGTGTAGGAGCGGCAGTACTTTCAGAGCTCGTTGAACCCTCCGATGAACGACCCAGCATAACTAGACGATAACAAGTATTTATTATGCGTTTATGTATTATGACCTTCCACTACAGGGTGAAAATCGGTCGAGGAAACGGCAACGGCTATCGAGAATTTTCGCCTGTCCAGTCGCGCTCTCCCACGCGCCCATTCACTCTCGCCAGCGGCGAGCCGGCCGAGCTCTCCACGCGTACATCACTCTCGACATTACTCACACAGTGAAGAGCGATGGTCGACAACCTCTTCGACCGTTATTCATCCTGTTTCCCTGGGAGAGATTGGTTCGCTAGGACAGCGAGTGATTTTTCTCGCGTTTCGCAGCGGGAGCTCCAGAACTACTCCTAATCAGGGCGGACATGAGGTTCCAGCAGCTTCGCGCTGCGAAACGCGAAAAAGTGATTTTCTGTCCAGAGTCACATCCGTTAGAGAGTGAAGGAAGTATTCTCCAGAAGCTTCATTCTAACTTTCCTCCATCAAGCCCTTCCACTCCTAACTCCTTCCATCGAATAATGAGACAGTACAGTTCAGCAAATTCAAATTTCCGTAGTGACAGAAGGACAGAAGAAAAAATGGAGTGATTTCCTGTCAACAAATATGAAGATCTCTAATAAAAGTAGGTCCATACCACGAAAAATTCTACGCAGTTAACGCAGCATTTATGCTTGAGACCATCCAGTTCAACATTTACACTTGAGACCATCGATTATCTACCAAGCAGACGGAAAAGCATCACACTACAGACAGTAACAGCGAGAAGCAAGTGATTAGTAAAACTACAAGTTAGTACAAAACTGTGATTAATCATATATTGGTTAGAACAAATGCCAAAACAAAATGATTTCAAGAAAAGTATATAAAAATAACACACAGAATCGTAAATGGTGCCAAAATCCTAAATACATATTGCAGGAATGTTAAGTAACGAAAAATTCTCCAAAAATATCCATGTCCAACTCGTCTTGGATGCCAATTGCGTTGTGAATGGCGGGAGCCGAAACGATCTCTCCCGGCGGTGCATGCGCGGCAACCTGAAACATAAAATCAAAGAGAAAATGGGCTTAACCTCAGACAGTAAAGTAGTGGAACAAAAAATAAAACTTGCAAATATGATGAAACAAAGTCATATTTAATAAACATTTGAGTTTGATATCCTTGACGAGACGCAACACGTGGCGCTTGAATAAGCATGAGAGTAATGTTGAGATCTTTGTATTGTCCTGGTGGGGCCGATCGTTATTCATGGTTATCAACATCTTTGAAAACCGTACGACTCCAAGTTTTATATTGACGATAAGACTCAAGAACTCCTACAGAAGCTGCAAAGTTATCGCAACTTATACCTCGAAAACCAGAAAGGCTGTGAGGCTGTGCAATAAAACAAGATATCTGTCATTATAAGAATCCGTGATTTGCTTAACATTTCGTATTTATTTTTGTTTCTTTGTAGTCTTTTTTCATTTAGCCTTGTTGTCTCAAAATAAATCAAATGAAATGAAAAATTGGTGAGGTTGTAAGGACTTTTGCTTAACTAAAGCACATTTAAATCCTTCAATGGACCATGCCGTTCATAGGCATGGTCTATTGAAGGATAAAATGTGCTTTAGGTAAGCACATTTAATCCTTCAATGGACCATGCCATGATTATTTATTACGGAACAGTAACAAGAATTTCGGGATGAATTGGAGATGTGCTGGAAAAGGATTACCAAGATGTTGACGCGCATGCGCGCCAGCGTCAGAATAACCGATGGGTCTCAAATTACGCGCGCATGCACTTCGACCTGTCGTCAGCGTGGCAAGCCTCAAAGCACAACAGCTGCTGCCCTTTGAATATATAATGACTTGTTTCTTCATTAATCAAATGTCCATCACAGAACAATATTTCCGCTTAATCAGAAAGAATATTACCGTACAAACCCGAGAAACGGTGAAAGGGAACGAGACACTGCACTCGCAATGGGTTCCGCATCGAACACATCGACGACGAATTCCAATGGGGATTCCGTCATCGAAAACATCGACGACGAAATCGCCGTTGGATGCAGGCCATTCCAACGAAGGAATAAGTTATTCAATTTGCATGTTTCATGACTGGAAACTACACATCATCTTTCATTCCCCAATGTTTGAGCAATGAAACTAAGCAGCGGCCGTCGAGACATTGAGATGGTTGCTTTGATCTTGAACGACAACCTTGTCTTCTTGTGGTCATTGTAATCACCTTCATAAACAACCGCAGCATTTACAATAACTTTTGAAGGTGATAGAATTTAACATGGAAATGTGGAAAACAGAAGACGCTCAGCGTACGCATAAAGGAAATAAGAGCACGAGAGAAAGTACATATCAATGGCCGCTTTCAAAAGAAACTAACAATAAGAAATATTTCAGCATGAGGGATCGTTGTCCCATTTCAAATCCAACAATAACACACTAACTTGCAAATCGTACCTGTGTAGCCAGTTGTCGTTGAAGATTTCCAGCTAGTTGCGTTTCAATAACCGTCGGTGGCGGAACATTCGTAAGCGTAATTGGTGGAGCTTGTGAAAGCCGCTTGTTTTGAAGTTTAGCCAAATCAAGCATGGCTCGTCCACTCATTTCTAGTTGAGACTGCAAAATACATGGAGATAGAAAAAGAGACATCTTACACCGGAACACCGGAAAAACATTCCTGAAAGGTCAAGCTACTGGCAATTCTTAACTTTAAGGAATTCCTTAGCTAAAACTGGGATTAAGCAGTTCATACAAACGTTGCACTGCGATGATCTTGCAACAGCACCCGAAGGCTCATCCAAAGGAAATTTTTAAAATTGCGAAGCAGTCAAAAAATAAAAACCGCCCCGCATAACATAGTACATCGTAAACTCATTACCATTTCATTCCTCTCATTCCCAACCTCCTCATGTCCTTCAAGAACCAGTTTCACATCTCATGTTCAATCGTGTATGATACCTGCAAATCCGTTGGTTTACTGATTGATAAATTTTCCCGTATATCCTGCACAAACGAGACGTCCACGCCAAGGTTTT